CTGTATATTTTCCTATATAAATATGATTCATTGAGCAGGCATTTTTTTCCTTTGATTTTTTTTATTTTAATGTTTGCATCTACAATATGATCTTCGTAAGTGTTAATCACTCGGTCACTGCATGTTCATTTTCAACAGTTGTTCGCATAGTCACTGATATGTTGTTTCTTCCTGATACAATAGGGAAGAATAAAATGATTATTTTGCGAATGACCGACATTAATATTCATTTTATAATCTTATAGGATAACGATTGTTCCAGACAATCTGACTTATTTTCATGCTAAATGGTACATAACAAGTTGTTTGTCGGACTAAACTGCTGGAATATTTACTAATAGGGATAATATGTGTATATGTACCATTAAACATACCATCAGAAAGTCATTGCGATTCGATGACAGCAATTTAAGAAAAATATTTAGATAATACAAAGCTTAAACCAGCAGACAGCCAGATTGGTGTTCCTCACTAATAAAAATACAGTGGAGTACCGATTCCCTACTACTATTTAACCTTAAATTAAACCAAGTGATAATGAACATACTGAAATTCAAGATTTAATTCCCCATGGGAAAAATTATCATTGTTAACAGGAAAAATACCCACTTAATCTACATTTTTCATTTATGTACATAATATGAATTTGTACACCAGATAACTCGATAACTAGGCAAACTTATTTGTAGCCAAATAAATTTAAACCAAATTTTTTACTATCAACATCGATTTTGACAATAAATGTTTTAGATTTTTTTCAAAAAGACTCAATGAAACTTGTTATACAGTGTGAATTTTTCATTCCATCTTTTCCCCTATTTACAATTATACTGAACAACAACAACTATGTAGTTTTCTTTAATTAGACAAAAGATTTTTTTATTTTTAACATAGAAAAAGAAAATTTTGTTTTAGGAAGTTTTAAACTTTAAAATTAAAGTCATAAAGTCGGTAGACAGGAAAAACTTTATTTATTTAAGTGAAAAAAACGTAAATATCATTTGTTCTTCAATTAACTTTGAAATCTAACAGCTTAAAGCAATTTTATTTATTTATTTATTTTAACACATAGATATTGGTACAAGGAGGCACCAAATACATATGCGCCACACGAATCTCAATTGATTTGTGTGAGGGCTGTGATACTGCCCGGGTGCCCAAACCGAAGCAGGTGGTTTTCTTAGGGGGCCACACCCCGAGCCTTTGACCTGAACGTCTGACCCACAAGGCAGTGGAGCATCGTAAGGAAATGCAGTCCCATGGTAGCCGGTGACCAACGATTGGTTCATACGCCATTTGTTCCCTCAGGATACTGGAGCCCATATGCACCATTGGTTTGTGATCCGGTTAAAGCGCCGGACATTCGCTTTTCGTCCTCTCATTTTCGTAAACAACACCCCCGCCACGTGAAGGCAGTGAGTAGGACTTCCCTGGCAGGGGCTATATACGCGTGGCCACGTGAGAGCATTTCTAGAGGGAGAGCGGACTCTCCCCACTCTCGGCCGTACCAGGGCATTTGGGGGCCCCCAAATGCTTAAAGCAATAAGCAATGAGATTCAAATACTGATGGTAAACATATCAATATCTTAAGGGTACATACGTTTACTTTAGCATTTAATCAGTATTATTTTTCAGAGTAAATGTTTTTATAGTATAGACTGTCCAAAAGTTGTAAGAGTATTTTTAAGTATCAACAGTAATAAGATAAAGTTTATTCTCACTGACTATTAGTGAAGCTTAGCATCCTGTGGTGCGGTGGCCTATTGATCGGAACAATTAGTTTCCACTCAGTCAATAGTTGGATGATATCTTGCCACATTAACTTCGTTTACAACAATAGGATAAATCACTACTCCTCACATAAGCGTTGTGGTTAAAATCAGAATACTTCTTCATTTGCTTGATAAATAAGATTGTTATGTTGTGCGATCGCATGCTACTGGTATATACATTTTCTATATAGGTGCCCAAACCGGCTATTTGAGTAAGAAAAATAAAGTCAAGTAAAAAGCGTTTATTAGGAAACCAAATAGAAAATATATGCACAACTTATTCACAGATATATCTTTTCCCTCAGAAACTAAAACAAGATTTTTAACCAATAGTGTTCGTATATTCTCAAAGAAATTCAAACCAAATCTTTGCCAGTAGCATACTCCTATCAGCATCTCTTACTCATTATTTAGACTTTTTCCAATTGACCATGCGTATAATCTTTTCCTATTGAAAAATAGGTTTAGCTTTTTTAAATCAGCCATAAGAATTATGAGAGTACAACAGTGTATGTTAAAACTGTTATAATACGACCATAGTTGGAAAAGATACTACACTAACATTTGGAATTCAGGATTTCCAATGTAACAATTTAAGTTGTAATTGAAACATATTGACTAATTTGTACAGATTAATACCTCTGATAAACTGTCAGCTTATAGGTATACCCAGTAAATAAATGCTGACAACGAAATATGTTTAGAACTTCATTTAAGTGAATGAAAGATTACTGTTCAATTACGTGTTGCGTCTAATAAACGCGTACGTACAACATAAACTAAAAAAATTATTCGTCAAATAAGGATATGTTCAACTTTCAGAGAGCTAAACATTTTTGAGTTAGTCAAATCCACGTCATCAAGATAAGTGATAAGATACGTTGGCACTGTTTTGTCCACATCATTAAGAGGTTCATCTATATTTGTCATGAGTAAGTTAGTTTGCTATTCATGTTTTGAGCTCCGTACTAAAAATTTGTTTAACACTGAATACTAGACTAGATTATATTGGTTAGAAACCCTGGACTTAAGATCTTTTAGTTAGGCAATCTGGAGGTAGACACATATATTTTACAATCACTGTTACAGGAATGACACTACATCGAGAAGTGGAATTTCATCCAAGCATAGATTGGATGCCATATTCACTTATGTAGCTAAGGTTTTCAAACAGCTTCTATCAGAAGTTGACAAGATAATCAAACGGATTTGAAATTAGTTAACCAAATACATCACTAATTATTAGGCTTACTTTGGCAATCTGAAAGATCAACATGTTAACCAACTACCATTAGTTACTCGACACGGTGCATTAGCAATATGTAAAAGCTGTCAGCTACGTACCGCATACTATATAGTGAAAGTTCACAAGATTTAAAATCGAACGACTTAGGTCTTTCCTATTATTCTACACGAACCTAAATTCGCCTCTCTTATACATATCCATGAAGCATATATGATCAAAAATATATAAAGGCAATGACTTTGTTGCTTCAGATAAATCTATACGTAATGTTTAACATTTCGCATAAACCTTATATTAAATGAAATTAGTCTTGTCATTTTTCCACTCTCAAGACAAAAAGTTAATTATTTTACACCTTGAATGATAGTCAAAGTGAAGACAATTATCTTTTAAACTTAAGCTAATATTCATACTCCATTTTTAGATATAACTCTCCATGTTAGATTGGCAAGGTTCACTGTGTAATGATTTCTAGATTCCTCTGATTTTATCTTAATAGTGACAATAAATAAACGAAGGTTGCTTACAAGTAAACGAAAATTGTGACGTAATTTTAACCTAAAGTAATAATTACTCGACAGGTATGGTTGTATTCAGTACGATAGTCAATACTCCACTGGCATAGTGGGTGATTGTTCAAATTGATTAACAACTAATATCATATTTTCAACTTTATAGTCGAAAACTGCCTTCAATTTTAAATGAACCGATGCACCCATAGAAATTGGAACTCGTATAATTCAGAACCGTATCATACGTGCTTGAATACTTCAAGTCATAGTTGCACATTATATAATACTGAAAGTCGGAAACAAGTGAATTTTGAACATTGATTTTGAATCAAACCAAATACTCACTTAAATAATTATAAATCAGATAATCTTTTCATAAAACAATCCGCAAAATACTCAGTGACAACATATATTGCTTAGTCTAGAAGTGCCAATATTCGTCAGAGTTATTGCATATATTGAAGCTGTGACGACAGTAATTTTGTAAACGATATCACTTTACTAAAAAGGGATGTAAAGGTGTATTAGACAAGAAAAATATCAAAATAAATCACCTATGGAGATTTACTTGGTAAGTATCAAGTTTTCAGCAGGGGTTAAAAAGCCATTAAAAACCTGATAACTCGAAACAAGTCTTTCCTGAGTTTTGAATCCCATATTAACGTACGCATCTAACTCTTCACGTAATGGGAACAAAGAACTTCATGCCTATCAGCAATAACTAAGTTACGACAGAATAGCTCAGAATTTCATACCGATTAAGCAGAAAAAAGATTTATTCAGAATTCATATCAACTATTGGATCTAGGCTGTATGGTTTATTAGGAGTGAGGTTATGTCAGCATTAATATCTGCCTAATAATGTTTACAAATACTGTGGCTGTAACACTTATTTATCAAAAATATCAATTCATAAGAAAAAAAACATTGAGTAGTTTATTAATAAGATTCATCATTATTATGCATATTTACGTACTTTCAAATTGTGTCGACAACAGTTGACAAATGCAATCATTCATGCACAGTGGGGGCGATTTTTGAAGGTAAGAAAAAGGTACACAACGAGTGTTGAGTAATATCCATACTACAATTGAAGAGGAATCTATCTAATCATTTGAATAAGTGCTTGAAGTACTCTTGAAATCATCAGACATCACTGAAGTGTGTTGTAATTAAAATTCGTGTTAAGCAATTATTGACTGCCCAAGTACGCATTCAACCGAGGAGTTCTATTTGCTAAAATGTTACTCTCGACAATTGATTGCAGTTTATATCTCGCATGAGCAGTAGTCAGTTTTAATCAATCAGTTGAAGTTAAAAAATTTCTTTTCAGTTTGACCAGTCGAATTCATATAGTTAATTGTAGGCTTCGTAAGTTGAGAATTCTATGAGTAGATCTGTTGCGGCCGAAGCAGAACTATCTGAATATGTTAATGATAGGTATGTAAAACTTATGTGACTCAAAATAAAGAACGAAAGTATTGATATCAAGGGAAGATTTATTTGACACCAAAAGTACGTCAAAACCACATCTAAATAAATTGATTTTTATAGGATTTGTTTATATCGATTAATAATCCGATTTGAGTAAATTAAACTGAGTAGCACTTGTCACTGATTAGTCGATAACTCACAATGTGTCCAGTCAGTCATAGATAAGATAGAACCCAGAATATATGTACACCAGTCCAAGATAAAATCATCAAAAATGATACCAAAACAGTAGGCCTATCAATAAAAATTATAAAAGTTGTGTAGAAATCGTGATACGAGAAGTGAAAATGAATTCATGGGATAAAAGGTACAAAAAACAATTTTGAAACTCAGGTCCTAGAGCTAAACAGGGAGAACGCACCTGAACCACCAAGATCCGCTCTGATCAGGCCAAAGTTTTCAGCCATTGGTTACGATAATCTATAGGACTCTGATCAAGTAGCCGGCATAAACTAACAAGAGTCAGACCAACAGTTGATAACTTTGTGGATTGGTAGTACGCCTTTGTTTTCTCTCTCTAGTCTCTTAAGCCAGCCAAGACCTCACGTCAATGTGGGCAATAGTTAGTCATACTTAAAGTGTGTTCTGGCTACTTCAATCGATGATTTAAGAAACTACCCTATGCCAATTTCTACACTCCTCACTCAGTGGTTCTAACACACACGAACAGTGCTTCAAAGAAACCTATGACGAAATAATAGTAAACTCCGAATGCCCTGTGCTCTTGATGACCATCAAGTAAAACAACGAGATCTATTAAGAAGTTTGTTGATCGTTTTTTGACAGGTGGATATTCCCTCTTCGCCACAGGTAACGTAATTTGCCAGAAGCCAAACAAGAATTTTGAATCCATGGCAAGATTTTACAAAGAAATTCACAATAAATGAAGTGATCAACACCTTATCATTACTCTTCGCCTGTATAAATAGTTTAAGAATGATTTACAAACGAAATCTTACAAATTACGTGTAAAACTGACTAGTTATATATTTCCTTTTTTCCAATACCTTCCCCTATTTATTTAGAAGTTATTGGAATGAGTTCATAGAGGATCAAGTTTATCTTTGGGTATTTTCCATACTAGTCTCAGAGATTTGGAAACTAAAAAGATACTCATGCTAGTTATTACACAATTCAGTGAATACGCGTTTTTTTCTTCAACTTATCAATAAAAAGTACACGCTAATGTTTTGAAATTCACAACCAAAATCCATTCTCCGAACAATAAGTGCAAAGAAAAAATCGCATACGTATAATAATAGGGAAATATTAGCTTAAAACAGTTGCAATAATTATCATGGTTCATTCTGACAACATTGTACATAGATAACACTAGTGTATAATTTGGAATGTTCAACAATTATTTAGAAAAAGTAATTCTAAAACCATTTTTATATAAATTTATTGTGATAAGATAATAAATTATAAATTCCAAAAGATGTACTTAAAGCAAAAAAGTTGAAGTCACAGTACAGTAATGTAATGCCCAAAATGTCTGAGGCTAAATCTACTGTGTATATCATTCACTTATTGATTTGCACCTTCAGTTTGAAGAAATTCTAATCCCTCACCATTGTGCATCCTTTTCTACGCATATACACATACGCAACCCATAACTTGAGAATTGCAAAATGATAGGAGGGAAGCCACTAAAGAAATCCCCCTACTAAACACAATAAAATTTATAATGATAATTACAAACTTTGTTAACAATTTTAACATTTCGATGCACTTTAAGGATGCCACACTTCACTAGAAAAAAGTTCCAAGTAATAGGCATTATATTTACTGACTGTTCGTGCTAATTTAATTAAGCTAAGCAAAGTGTTCATTAAACTGGAAATTACATATATATATATATATATATATATATATATATATATATATATATATATAAAGCGTGATAAGAAAAAAATCAGTAATGTGTACTAATATAAGTCTATAAACTATTTTATTTAGTAGTCTAACTTACAAATTCAGCCAGTCAGACTGTTATTTGTATATGTGGAATCAGTTATGACGTTAAACGGCTAGAATTGACTGACGGAAAAGCCTGAGATTCCCATTCGAGTTACCTACCTAAAGAGTATCGATATATCTTAATGACGAGTACCAACTAATACAAAACCCAAACCGAATCTCCTGCTAATTTGAACACATAAATAGCGACGTAGTAAATAATAATTAATAATCCATTCCAACTACATAAAATTAAAACTTATTGAGTTAATTAGACTAAACCACACAACAATAAAGTCGATAAAATCCAATAACCAAGGACTAGACAAACAAGAAACTAGTTACTACCCAATGATCAATCAGTGTAGAAAGTTGGTTGACCTAACCTGTTAGACACAATGACACCACGCAGGACAAAATGCCCACCCTCTTCGTTTTTATGAACACTAATTAACACCATGACATTAGTTTATCTGATATCCATATATTTGAACAACTATCGATATGGATTAGACTGGGAAAAAGTCGAAATGTTAAACAAAGGATGGCTGAGAATTTTTAGAAGCTTCAATCAGTAGAAATTGAAATAGACCGAATCTATTAGCCAGTAAGATAAAGATTTAACAACTGCAAGATAAGAGAGAAGATAATCAAAACAAACATGAGAACAACGATCACGAAGTAATGGACAACAATCTACTAACTTCCAGATCAACAGAAGCCAATAGTCACTGAGGTACGTACTGATGATATTGCCTAAAAGGACAGTGAAGGCTCCACAACTAAACCACCCAACTCAGAAAACAATACCAACACAACCACAGTTTCGTGTTTATACCCTTTTGAGTCTTCTCAATACAAACACATGTTCTGGCATTGCCAACTTATAAACGTCAGCTGTACCAATCAACAATGGTCAATTTCAACTAAAATTTTCATACGCATCACTGCACCAGATAAGGACAATGTGACCGGAAATTTTTTCGAGTGAGTAAACAAGATAATTGGCTGTAAGAGAAATCAAGGAACTGAAAAAAGTGTAATTCAAAGTCATACTACATATTTCATAAACAGTTAAAATATTACGCTATATGACTAATGTTATTTTATTTACGGAAAGACTTCATTTACTTACATAGGAAAGAAATCCAAGAGACTACTACATTGAGTTTCCATATAACAGTAACTCATGAGATGGGGAATTCTCCAAAAACAATGGATATTATCAGAATTCAAAAGTAATATACAACTAATAAGAAGCACTAAAACTGACTTATTGACAGAGTATTCACTACTGGTATTTTATTTTAACACACACATATTGGTACAAGGGAGCACCAAATACATATTCATCACACAGGTCGCATTTGATATGTGTGAGGGCTGGGATACTGTCCGGGTGCCCAGACCGAAGCAGGTGGTTTTCTTAGGGGGCCACACCCCGAGCCTTCGACCTGAAGGTCTAACCCATAAGGCAGTGGGGCATCGTGAGGAGATGCAGTCCCATGGGAGCCAGTGACCAAGAAATTGATTCATACGCCATTTGTTCCCGCAGGATACTGGAGCCCATGTGCACCATTGGTTTGGGATCCGGTTAAAGCTCCGAACATTCTCGTTTCGTCCTCTCAAGTCCGTAAAAGACACCCCCGCCACGTGAAGGCAGTGAGTAGAACTTCCCTGGCAGAGGCTATATACGCGTGGGCATGTGAGAGTATTTCGAGAGGGAGAGAAGACTCTCCCCACTCTCGGCCGTACCAGGGCATTTAGGGGCAACTACTGGTATCAAAAAAGTCAGTGTGAAAATCAGTAAAACATGTCAATCATGAAATACAAACAATGGAAAATTAAATTTCTTAATTTATTTCGATTTTCATTTCCATTTTTTATCCTAAGTTTTAACTAAACCCACTAACTTAGTAATACTTCAGAAAATTTGGTGTCTAGCAGTAAGTTCCACAATCCAGTCTCTTAGTGGCTATGAATATGGAAGACAATGAGTAAATTCCAGATATTTGAATTTAGTTACCTTAAAACTACTGACCGCTTACGATGGAACGACAGTGTTTCCAATATTGAAGCTGTGTGTATTTTTAGGTATAAATTATATGATTGATGAGGCTATGAATCCTCATTAACACTGCTTGTCAAGACGCATTGTGCATACTTTTGTGAAGTGTGACAAACTTGCATCAATATACATCCGTGTTAGAAATTAAATAGTTTATGAATGATTGGGGCACATAATACATATTTGTCACACAAGTCACCTGATTTGTGTGTGGACTGTGATACTGACCGGGTGCCCAGTTCGAAGCAGGTGGTTTTTTAGGGGGTCACACCCGAAGCCTTCAACATAAAGGTCTGATCCACAAGGCAGTGAAGCAACGTCAGGAGATGCAGTCCCATGGTAGCCGGTGACCATAAGATAATTGTAGGATAAATATGCGATATGATGTTACCTATCAAACAACAAATGTACTGTGAAGAAGTCCCCTTTGTGTTACTTTGTCATTAAGTCAAGACCATTATTTCTAAAGGGGAGGTGTAGATAACAGTCATTTGGTAGTAAGTTCTTCCAGGGATTATTCATGTCTTCTGAAACCGCTGATTGCTTCATGTTAATCTTAGATCCAATCTCGATTGATAGACTTAAGTTTGTAAATTTCATTTAAAATTATAAACATTGGTACAGGATGATTTGACCTGACTAACCATGTCTGGCATATCAATGATTACCTGATATAAAAAAATTAAGTAGTCTGCAATCGGACAATAATATGTTAAAATGATAAATATAAATAAGGTTACACTAATTTAGCAATAGTACAACTAATGATTTATGAATTACTGACATGTTTAAACGAGGAAATAGGATAAGACTAAAATTCGTGCATCGAATGCAAAAAATAAATTTGATGAATGTGTCGAAATACTCCAACTATGTGGAGTGGCACATGATAGTAGCACAAATAATTTGTTTGAAAATCGTTACCACGACATAGTAAAATAGAATGACTGCATCTCGGTCTAAATTTATTTATCCAAACATACAAACATTGGTACAAGAAGGCACCGAATAAATATTCGTCACACAAGTCACCTGATTTGTGTGTGGACTGTGATACTGACCGGGTGCCCAGTTCGAAGCAGGTGGTTTTTTAGGGGGTCACACCCGAAGCCTTCAACATAAAGGTCTGATCCACAAGGCAGTGAAGCAACGTCAGGAGATGCAGTCCCATGGTAGCCGGTGACCAACAATAGATTCATATGCCATTTGTTCCATCAGGATCCTGGAGCCCATGTGCATCATTGGTTTGGAATCAGGGTTTTTCAACTCCCCTTGGTGGATCCGTCGTACCCACCAGCCCGGTTAAAGCACCGGACGTTCTCTTTTCGTCCTCTCAATTTCGCATACGACAGACCCGAATCGAGAAGGCATTGAATAGGACTTCCCTGACAGTGGTTGTATGCACGTGGGAGAGAGGGGAGCTGATTTTCCCCACTCTTAGACGTACAAGGGCATTACTAAGAAATAAGTACCTAAAAAATGTTTCAAAAATGTGCACAGATCCTCACCCCCTCAACTACTGAACTCGAAACAAAGCTACATACGCACAAAAAGTGTAAGCAAGCAATTTATGATATTGTGGTAGAAAACTAAATGTAAGTTGATCAGATTCTCAAAAAACGGATTAAAACGAGCCAGTTCAAGACGGTTTATCAGCCAACTTTACGAACAAACTGATTTCTTTTGCTGGAAAAGCAAGATATTGTAAAGATAATTTTGATACATCGTTTGCTTTGACAACGAATGACGTATAATAAACTACTTAGATATTGATACTACTCATGCTGAAGTCATCATTTAAGGAATACAAAAAATAAAATTCACGTTCAATACGACTTAATGTCTGTATGAATTAGCACTGAATAGTGTAAAACTTAATAAAAATGACTCATTTAACAAGAAATTTAATTGAGAAGCAAATCACAGAGAGAAAAACTGTACTCATTTACTGTACACAATGCTATGAGTCTGAGTATAGTAATGGAGGCATATCTACATGAAATTTTTCCAATTTGATAAATACAACGAATCACAAATTTTGACATTTTAAATTCAGTAGGTTATCTGTAATTGATGAAGAAGATTCCGGTTTATCAACCTGGATATCACCACGTTCTGAAGGAATTTTCTTATGAGTAGTGTTCGGTTTTATCGATTCGCAATTAGGGGTTGAACGTGCTGAATTCGGACGTCTAACAACACCCAAATCAGATGGAACACGCCGAGGAGTATTGACTTTAGGAAGAGGAGAACATGTCTGCCCACCAATACGAGCAGTGCCAGTTGAAGGTCGGCTGTTTGGTTCGTTATTTATAATCGATGAGCTGGAAGCGAGTAAACGAAGAGCAGCAGGAGAGAGTAGCGACCGTGACGGACTACAAAATAAGTGAAATTTGAAATTATTTAAAAATTCTGAAAGCTAGAATTTTGAAATTAACTAATGTAAAATACTCAACACTCCAAAAGAATTAGAAACAGCATTTCAATAAATACAATGTTATTCAATCAACTGATACGGCTATCTGACCGAGGGGAGTTTTCATCAACATTGATTCAAGATGACTAACCATGTCTGGCATATCAATGATTTCCTAATATAAAAAAATTAAGTAGACTGCAATCGGACAATAATATATTAAACTGATAAATATAAATAAGGTTACACAAATATAGCCATAGTGTAGTGAAGGAGGATACAGGTGAGGACAACCGAATTATATTTAGCACAAAATTACAGCTCTTTGGTAAAATAGAAAAATCACACTATAATACTTAACTTGAAAAATGTTCAATTGTCTCGGACTTCATTGTTTTTGCATTTCCATACTAACTGCTATCTAATCACGTTCTTCCTTTCTTGATCTTCCCAATCTTTTACTGCTAGACATTACATTCCTGACTCGCGTTATATACTACTTATGTTGATATAAGTAGCACGCATCACAATAGTACAACTAATGATTTATGAATTACTGACATGTTTAAACGAGGAATTAGGATAAGACTAAAATTCGTGCATCGAATGCAAAAAATAAATTTAATGAATGTGTCGAAATACTCCAACTACGAGAGAGCGCGGATTTTCCTCAACCTCAGCCGTACCAGAGCATTCGGAGGCTGATTAAATTATTTAGTCACGATACGAAGATGAATATTTTTGATCATTTTGTCCCATTATATATTATATCTGATTAGCTGAATTCCCGAGTGATATCACATAGTCACGTTTTTTATAGACGTTAAGCAAGCAATATTGACCACCGTGAAAAATAATTGTGGTACTTTAAAGAACTTTAGACTTATGTGTTACATGTTGATGTCTGTCTTTTAGACCGAGAGGTCCCCAAATAAGATACGGCAGAGTGTGAGGAAAATTCTCTCTCTTTCGAAATGTACTTACACTGCCACGTGCATACAACCACTGTCAGGGAAGTCCTATTCAATGCCTTCTCGAATCGGGTCTGTCGTATGCGAAATTGAGAGGACGAAAAGAGAACGTCCGGTGCTTTAACCGGGCTGGTGGGTACGACGGATCCACCAAGGGGAGTTGAAAAACCCTGATTCCAAACCAATGATGCACATGGGCTCCAGGATCCTGATGGAACAAATGGCATATGAATCTATTGTTGGTCACCGGCTACCATGGGACTGCATCTCCTGACGTTGCTTCACTGCCTTGTGGATCAGACCTCTATGTTGAAGGCTTCGGGTGTGACCCCCTAAAAAACCACCTGCTTCGAACTGGGCACCCGGTCAGTATCACAGTCCACACACAAATCAGGTGACTTGTGTGACGAATATTTATTCGGTGCCTTCTTGTACCAATGTTTGTATGTTTGGATAAATAAATTTAGACCGAGATGCAGTCATTCTATTTTACTATGTCGTGGTAACGATTTTCAAACAAATTATTTGTGCTACTATCATGTGCCACTCCACATAGTTGGAGTATTTCGACACATTCATCAAATTTATTTTTTGCATTCGATGCACGAATTTTAGTCTTATCCTATTTCCTCGTTTAAACATGTCAGTAATTCATAAATCATTAGTTGTACTATTGCTAAATTAGTGTAACCTTATTTATATTTATCATTTTAACATATTATTGTCCGATTGCAGACTACTTAATTTTTTTATATCAGGTAATCATTGATATGCCAGACATGGTTAGTCAGGTCAAATCATCCTGTACCAATGTTTATAATTTTAAATGAAATTTACAAACTTAAGTCTATCAATCGAGATTGGATCTAAGATTAACATGAAGCAATCAGCGGTTTCAGAAGACATGAATAATCCCTGGAAGAACTTACTACCAAATGACTGTTATCTACACCTCCCCTTTAGAAATAATGGTCTTGACTTAATGACAAAGTAACACAAAGGGGACTTCTTCACAGTACATTTGTTGTTTGATAGGTAACATCATATCGCATATTTATCCTACAATTATCTTATGTTGCAGTAAAACTTAAAGGAGGAATAAGATAAATTGAAGCCAAAAATGCGTCATAAAAATAACAGAAACAACACTCTTTTTATGTACGTATTTTCACCTTATGTACATATCTTACAGTATCAGTAATGCTTACATATACCAAGAATGGAAATCATGTCCACTTTTCACATCTAATCTCACCTGAATGTGTCTGAGTTAAATTTATTTATGGGAGAACTTACTGTTAAAATGTACAGTAGTACAACATTAATAATTTTTAATTATAAATACACTTACCTTGACGCTGCTGACTGCATTCTTTTAACTGCTTCCAAACGATCACGCACACGTTGACGACTTGCTTTATCTGCTAATTGGTGGGCAAGCTGTTCACGTTGAGAAGGAGATGGGATACGAAAGGCTGGACCACCAGATACAACTGATGGTGTCGTTTCGCTGTCATCTAGTCGGAAAGGTGTCGAATCCAATTCACCCCAAGTCATCAAAGGTGTGTGAGGAAACATTGCCATTGGTGAAGGGGAAGAATCAAGAAATTTATACCCAGAAGCCTGAGGAGTTCCGTATGGTGAGCTCATTTCTAAACCATTAAGACCGATACGACCCTGCTTAAAATAAAACCAAGTAAAAACTTCACGTGAATATTTCATATAACCAAACTAAATTCTGAACCAGAACTTAATAAACGGTTTACCCTTTTTCACATTAACAGAGACAAACGGTAATGTTCTTTCATTGATTAACTCTGAATTAGTTCTACAAGGTACATAAAACTATATTTTTGACCAGTATTTTCAAGTAAGATTGTGTCAGTTCAGATGGAATGTTAATCTGTAGACTAAAAATGCGAACTAAGTAAAATCTACCGACTAATGCTCTCATCCAGATTGGAGTACGTTACGTGTAGACTGTGGCAATGTTCAAACTGAATAAGCTTTTAAAGCATCCCAGTATTTCACATAGTGGCAAATGAACCCCCGTTCTCAGTCAGTCAGTCAGTCAGTCAGTAACAACGTGGAACTTCGTACGGACGTACATCAGTTCGAGTTGCCACACCACATTAGCACAGAGATTCAGTTATCGATTCAAATCCCATAGTGGTAGAGGTACTGAAAGTATAAGTAGAGATAGGGGACATTAAGGTTTGACGATGTTATTAAAGGAGTATAGTCCAGTGGAATAAATTGGGAAAGAAAATAAAGGACATGAAGAATACAGAAGATTAGAGTTTGAGAGAACACAGAGAGTGGATGCACCTGAGCCATTGCAAACGATTTTGAGCCATGTCATTCAAGATCTCTAACCATCGGTTGCTATCATCTCGCGGTCCCCAACCAGGTAGTCTACACCTACCAACATGACTCAGTCCACTTGTCAGTGGCTTCATGGATTTCTGCCATGTTTTGGTCTGGCCGCCCCTAACTTTCTTCCAACCTACTCCTACACCATAAAACATAGCACGTCGGGGCAGTCGGTGGTCGGGCATGCGCAACACATGTCCCAGCCATCTCAACTGATTAAGTTTCACTACTTCCTCAATTGATTTGCCATCCTTACCTAGTACCCGTTTCATAACAACTGCATCACTTACTCGGTGGTCCCAGGATATACGAGCGATGTTTCGAAGACACCTATGGTCAAATACTAGTAACCTACGAATATCCTCTACTCTTACCCAATCCTGAAGCAACGTTTTGCATTTCGAGGAAGAAAATCGCATGCCGAACATGCTTGCATTGTTGCTTAGAGTGGTCAGCAGACTCTGCATTCTGTCAGCGTCTTCACTAAATAGAACTATGTCATCGGCATATTCTAAGTCAACAAGTGGATCTCCCGGTAGAAGTTCGACTCCTGGAAATTTAGATGAGGAAAGTGTCATCTCTAAAAGGACGTCAACGACAAAGTTAAACAAGAATGGAGAGAGTGGACAGCCCTGACGAACACCACTTGAGGTAATCAGTTCTGATGACAGTTCGCCATAAGCTCTCACTCGACCAGTTGTGTTCGAGTAGAGAGTCTTTATAAGGTTAATGTACTTCTTTGGTACTCCCTTTAGTGACAAACACTGCCATAGAACCTCACGATCAACAGAGTCAAATGCCGCCTTAAGGTCGAGAAATACTACCATTGTGGGGCGTCTGAATGTGTGTCTATGTTCTAGGACCTGACGTAATGTGAATATTTGATCAATACAACCACGTCCAGGTCGAAAACCAGCCTGGTTTTCGCCAGTCTGCTCTTCACGAGCTTTGGTTAGACGTTCTAGAATAAACAGTTCGCTGTTTATAGAGGCTAATTAACCGTCCGATAATTCAAGATGACAATAGCACTGGTCACTTGAAATACAAGATTGCTAAACAAAAATCACAAGACCGATTAATTTAAAAGACTGCAAAAACCCTTAACGGCATTGATGAAGAACAATGACTATTCAACGAAGGACGTATTTGGTGCAGTAATTTCTCATTACTGTTCAGTTTAATTGTGATTAGAGTGACCAAACGTTTTACTTCTGCATTAAAGTAATCTTTGAAAACTTACACCATTCAAATAATCAGATGAATATTTATGAATCACATCAGCCATTATATTTCGGATAGGAGTATTACTGGGTAAATCAACACCGGTTAGTTTAGTTTAGAATTCTGTTACAGTACATTGCTAAGTGTAAAAACCAGTAATGGGATTTTGACACTTTTAATATGCTTTTTGTCAAATGACAAGTACTCAGCTTAATCATTCTGATCACTTCTTCCATAAGTAGACAGTTCATCATGTTTTTGTGTGGCGCATATATATTTAGTGCCCCACTGTACCAATATTTATGTGTTCAAATAAATAAATAAATTATAAATAATCACTTCTTAGTGATATATAATCAGTAAACCTTGATTACTTTAATGCTGGGTCAACCTTAAGAAGCTTCGTCAGTAAAACTGATGGCTTTATCCTAGTTGGTGAAGAAAGGAAGGGACGAGTATAGAATTCGTTCCGTTTAAGTCAGAGTCACGAATTATAAGCACAATGTACGAAAGTATTATATAGCCCCCATAAAAAATAAATTAGGACTCAGAAAATCGCAAAATGAACATTAAATTTAACTGACTTTTCAATGCTTGCTTTAATCTTATGTTCTACAATGACAATGGAATCAAATCAAGATAGATTAAAGTAACAAACCACAAATAACAGCTAGCACAGTACAAATGAACTGCCAATTCCTAACTTACCAGCTTTGCTGCAAGTAAATGTTTCATTGTACGTTTTTTTTCCAGATTTACTGGAAAAGGTCTCTTGAAGCGAGTATTAGTCGGAACAATTTTCCGTTCCTTTGACAAAAATTCCAGCAATTCCTCCCTGGTTTGAGACACACCATCAGGATTAAAATGAACAGCATTGTTCCCAGTAATTGTGACCCTAGGTCCAACAACAGCATTTGAAACACCGGGGAGAGCCAAAGTTTTTGGATCATCCAAAGGTGCCTAGTCAAATGATAACGAGAACTCAATGTTGAACGTACAGGTGCAGAACACTGAAGAGAGGGAAAAAAAGGAGCCAGTTTAATTCTCTGCTTCTTTTCATTTTCTTCAACTAGTTCCGCGAAGGATGCATCATCTTCCGTGGTATTATTGGCCATGTATTTATCCAAAGACATAGCAGTTGGATCACCTAAAGTCTCCAAGTTACTTTCCAATTCAATGTCTACTCTTTTCAGGATTATGAGAATCGGTACAAAGTGCACTCCTATCTTTAAGATCACTGGATTCCTCATCGGCTCCCTTTTCTTCGTTTGTAGTAAGACTAGGGAAAAAATCCCGTTGTATTATTTTTCCCAGATGCTAAAATATAAAATGAAAGGGTTGATAAACACTTATTGCAAAGTAACGTTACAAAACGTTCACCGACCTCTATTTCGAAACATTGCTTGTTAACTACAAAACTTCATTTCATTACAGACATCTCAAAACACGAGATTCTAAAAATTCAGAGTATACAAGTAGTCTTGAGCACATGCAATGAAACTAATAGTCGCAAATAACAATGAATTGACTGAAGCACATTATGTATTAGCCAGGAAAAAAGTCCTTCCCTAATTATCTCTGACCAATCAAATGAACATGGCTAATTTAGCAAAGCACAAACACAATTGAACGCCCGATCCTAAGTAGCATGACACCATGTACTTGGTCACATGGTTTGTACAGTACCCACCACCTTAAGTTTATACAAACCGTCAGTCAACGAAGAGCACAGCACATGTATACAGTTGCTCAGATAGCATGACGGGGTGGAAAAAAGATTAGCCGTAACAAAATGATATGATCAAGTAGCGATTATAATATTCAAGACCAAGCATTGAAAAAAGGCCTTGAAGACAACGTAGGACCAATAAATAGCAAGTACTCTGAAGCTTCATGTTGTTATGACATTTCTAACAAACATCCCAAACTTATATGGCACAAAAGATAATCTTAAAATTCGTAACGGGGAATCAGAAATAATCTCCATTGATGTGTCGAATCGAGTTAAGAAAATGAACTCATCAAATCAACAAAATGATTAAACCCAGACAGATCTCGTGATACCTCCATATATTCTTCTTCATCCCGGACAGTTTGAGTTGTGATTCGACCCTGAATTGGATTGAAACTAATAAGTTTCTTCTGACCACTGACATCGTGTATCACTTTAGACGATACTTGGTCCATGAAATGAAAGTAGCGCTATAAACAGATTTTCCGCTCAAAAGTGGGAGGATTTCAGGATTTCAATATTTTGTACTAGCATATTTGACGCTTAGCGCCTTCTTTCTGCTTGATTAGCATTTCAGGCCTCCGTCTATGTTTGATTTGCGGCAGTTCAACCACTTTGATGCACAATTTATAGTCAGTTTGATCGTTATTTGTTTGCGTCGTACGTCCAGTGAAGAATCATCAAACCCCAATCTTCTGACTGAATCAACCTTGCTTTGGATGGTCGTTATATGAGAGATGAATAGTCAATAGGATCTTTTCAAGATCAGGGATCTCTGACACGGATGAATCAATGTTAACCCATAGCCACAAACATTAGTTGTTCCAGCTAGTACTTCTATGAATCTTTGCTACTACAAACCGTTGTTTAAGGAGGTCAACGAGGAAGCCGACTCGCCTGATTAGGTTAGGTTATTCTATATTGAGCACCAATCACATAGTGTAACTCCGAATTGGCCTATGATGTCACATTATTCCTATTTAAATCAAGTAGACCAACCTTCCATATTAGAAATATCTTTTCAAACTCTTCACATTATTGACAAATAGCAGTAGCTAAATGTATCGCTAACAAATTTTTTACGAGGGATTGTTGCAACTTTTTATGGTGCCCACTTTTCTTCTGACTAGGTCTTTAGTGCCTGTAGTTACCATTCGTTTTATATGTCGAAACAGACAAACTGGTTGTTTTAGCAAGCCTTTATTCAGATCATGGAACAGAGTGGTTGGAGCTCTAGTTTCTCATTGTCAGCACACAAAAGTTTCAACATTTAATATAGGATGATAAGAAATGTAGTGCCCGCGCAAAAAAGGAAGTAAGTAATTAATTAACTATAACGTTTTGACATTACCAACCCTTAACCACCCAACTAAAGATGTTGCATGTCCACTTATACCCGAGTTATCCTTAATCACAATACTGAATGTTATTATATAGTTATTTTGACAGAAAACGGTGTTTTTACCTATATTAAAGGATGAGGAACAGTTACCTAACTTTTGGTTTGTCTTGACCAATTCAGAAATGTCTGACCTTCAAATGGCTAGACATCTTAAACAATAAAGGTTGTCTTTTGGATCGCTACTTCATTCCTCTTCTGTCACACACAATTTCCGAATCTTCATTTCTTACTTCCTCATTCAACACTGTCTGGGAAATTCTGAATTAGTGGCATAAGAGTATTTGAATATTATTATGAATTTTTCAGATCAATAATTTTAGAAGTTCGATTATGCTAATAAGTCTTCAACAACTGCAAGCCACAATTTATTTGAATGAAGGCATCCATATAGACAGATGAAGTTACACTTAGTAATATTTCAGCGACAACTAAAGCCTAAGCATGTGGTGTTTTACAAAAGGATGATAACTTACATCATGTTTTTAGTTTGAAATATTAAACATGTAAATGTAACATGCTAAACATCACTAGATCGTAAAGTGTATTTCTGTAAATAAAATCAACTCCATGTAGATAAAAATTCACATTTATTAGTAGACAAAATTGTTTACTGAATCACGTTCTTGTGAGGAAGTATTTCAAATTGTTTTCCTAGATTATGACATCTTTTATTTACTGAACCGAAATGTTCGTGATATGAAAATCCCTCATATAAATAGATAAATTTAAGTATTTTAGTATCCTCAACATCTTCAAAAATATATATCCTAAGTTGTACATTTTACGATACTTGGTAATTCACAGAAGCCTCAATACCAATGAAATAATGATGTATTTCTGGCATTTGAATTAAAAAATTGAATTTTTGGCACTTCGCGTCGTAATGAACCTGGAATTGGCAAGCCAATCCTTGCCATCAATACTTATAAGGTAATCACTAAACTTTTGAAATTCAATTTCTTTTTTCTAGATTTTAGTAACTAAATTCTTTTATTTTTCTTTTGATATCCCATATATTTTATAATTTTATCTCACAATTACTCCGCTTTAAAAGCGGAACCATTAATATGATTCTTTTATTATCATATGAGAATTTCAGAACACCAAGTTGGCGTGTAAGTTAAGCATTGATTTTAAGTTGAGAAGTCATTTCCTCTGAACTTGTGTATCTTTCAATTTCAAACACAAACAAGCTAGTTTAAGAACTTGGATTCGCTATTTCCCATTTAAATTAACGTTTATTTGCGCTAAAGTAATTCTATTCATTGCTCTACTTCTATGGAAATATTTATTGTTTGTTTACCCATTTTAAGTTTCTTTATAACTTAAAAGCTTCAGCTTCTATTCAAATATTTTCCTTTGCTTATTTAAATTACCTTAGGCTAGTTAACTCTAACTCATAAAATTAGCCTAAAGGCAAAATGTAGGTTAACATTGTTCTGGCATTGTCACGGCGAACTTTTATATCTTTTTGATATGTTACTTTTGAATTCTTACTAGCTATCCTATTCATTTGTCTTTCTTTCGTACCTTGTTTCGCCTCATCTCATCATACTCCGTTATTCTTTATCGCTTCTTCTTTCCTAGAGCATTCCTAAAACGTTTTTTAATCATTCATCTGAGCCTGTGTAACACTGACATACAATTATGTATCTATTTATAATAAAAAATGCCTTGAGGTGATCATTCAGTATTGGATGTTTTAAGATTGGAAACACGTAACTCTCTACTATATAAATATATATATATATATATATATATATATATATATATAAACGATAAATTGTACGAGATGAATAAAATCACATCTTGGTTATAATGATGATATTCGTACACGACCACAATAAATAAACTATATTTTATTATTTGGAAAAAAAGTGAGTTCAACCAAACATGTACAATACGCGGGTACTAAAATTTAGAAAATTTATTCAGTTAACATAATATTGATAAGTAAATTAAATTAAGGTGGTATTATTTGATGTTTTCTTGTATTAATAATATGTGTCAAAGGTACCTCTAATTCATAACAGTTTTTCATTTACTATCAAGTGATCATTATTGAATGAATATTATTATTATCATACATTTTGACATAGATTTTGTCAAAAGTTGCGTAAATTCATTGATTTATTTAGGTACTTTTGACACTGACATGAACTTATGTACTTGCATCCCAGAGTTGATGTTCACTCTGGGACTCGAAACTAGGACCATTCGCTTCAAACGCCATCACGTTATCCACTTAGCTACTGAGTCCTGTTAACCACCTGCCTGTGCAATGAGGTAAAGTTTAAATTCACTCGGTGTTGTTTTACTTGTATCTTCCCATTGTTATTTAGGACTGCAATTGATCAACCTCATGTTGACGAGTCCCAAATAGGACGAAACGCACGTCCTGGATTCTACTGCTAACCACTATTCATCTTGGCTTAAAAAGCTTGTGACTTAGGGCTATATCGAGGCAATGCGCACAGGATGCACGTATGCCAACATGAGACTGATCAATTGCAGTCCTGAATAACAATGGGAAGATACAAATAAAACAACGCCAAGTGACTGAACTTATAATATCTGTTTTAAACAATGTGTACTAAAATAAACAGAAATGTCCATTTAAAAAATACTAAATTTATCTTACTGAACATATGTAATTTACTGTTACCTAAAGAACTAATTATTTGTTTTTCTATTTCGCTATTTTGTTTTTATAATCTTTAAAATTATAAACATGATTAAGCCATAAAAATACCAAGTTTATATGATCATTATTGCTAGCGAATTCATCACTTAAATAATATGTAATCCCAACACTAAGAGATGAAATATATTATTGGTTACGTTTGACTTAAAACCAATGAAATTCATTTCATATTTTAGTTTTATGTACCATAAACAGACCAAAAAATTAGATTAGATTGAAAAAAGAAAAGAAAACTCATACTAAAGTAGGACTTCTAAATTCATAAATATCTAACATAAACACTTATATTACTGAGAGTTGAGTCTAGTGAAAATTAGAAAAAAAAAACACTTTAGGTGAATGCATACATCTTCATAAATAATTATTGTCTGAACTTGAATAATTCCAGAGTACTAGAGTTAATTGGTAGAACAATTTAAATCTCAACCGGTTCAGTCAACGAGGAATAATACTTGATTATTTTAATACTAATAACTAGAATTTAAATCTATGAATACGAATCGAAATTTTGTGATAGGTTTCTGGGAAAAAAAATAAATTTTATGAAGTGATTTTATTAACGTTATTATATACCAATTTGCCACTGTATTCATAATATAATAAGGTATATAGTTATACTTGTTTCAATTTATAGAACATAATGATACCTGAACAAATAACATCATTACCTGAATTATCATCTCATATACCAATATCAACCTCAGATCTACCTAGTACAACACACACTACTGAGTTGGCGATTGATAGAACAACAGAACTTCTCAAACTTATACAGACAGCTTCTAATGGTCAAAACATACTCAAGGTAAATTGGATGAACTTTCAAAGTTCAAATGAATTACAAGAGTATACAGAACATAAAAATAAAGTTGACGAATACGCTAGTAGTAATCAAAGTGATTTCGTCAATATTCAAAGTGAGTTAAATGTTGGCCTGAAAGATCTCATCAATCAATTACAACCGTGTCAGCAAATAGGGGTGGAAAGTCATAATTGTGCAAGTGACAACTCAGAGATTATTAGTACATCTGAATCTAACAAATCTGTTACCATGATTCATGATAGTAGTGAGGTCAGTACATGGAATTCATCTAAATTATATCAATTATGCAATGAAATAAAACAGTATCAAGAGTATCCTGATGTTGATCCCAGATTATCAACTGATCTAATATTACTTTTAAATATGTTGAATGATTCGGCTTCGTCAATTGTTGCATCAGTAAAATTAGGCTCTAAGAACAGCATTAATAATGATAATAACAGCCAATCTAATTGTGAAGTATACAATATGATAAAAACTAACAACTTTGCAAACATTGAATGTTTTAATAAAAATGATTTATTGAATATAACAAATAGTGGACGATCTCAAATGCAATCAACAAATAAAATCTCTAACAATAACAATGAACTTTTATTTACGGAATCACAAGAAAAACTCACAAGTGGTGTTTTCAAGTCTAATGATACCATGAATTCTTTGGGAATCCAGCATGAAATTCAACAACAGCAACCACAATCTAAATTATATGATACTTCTAATAAAAAGCCAGTATTACACTGGGCTAAACTTGGTGTACCTCAGCCTGCCAGTCCTACTAGATATTCAGCTCCAGTACATATAGATGTTGGTGGTACACTATATACATCTTCATTAAAAGCTTTAACAAAGTGAGTGAAAATTTTAGTAACTACTGTCATATTACTAGTTTAAATATAAAATTATTAATCAGTATAATATCCCAATTGTTAACTATTAGATGAATAGGTTGAAATTGTCGTCTCAACTTATCCTCATATCTCACAAAATAACATATCGTCTTTAGAAGGTAACTTAGGAATGCTACGAATATTTTTGAAAAGAAATATTGATGATTTAAAACAAAAAAGCTAATCACCTTAGTTCGTATTTTAGTAATCATAAAATTGTATCACGATAGATGTAAGTGTTTGTTATGTATGTTCCCTTAACTAGTGAAAAGACCAAACAGTTATACTTAAGCAGGATCTAAATAACGCCTGAAGATACAGTTATTCAATAGAAAAATGACAAATTTGACACTGTTTTACTCATACTTTGTTTATAATTTTAAACATATATTACTTTACTGTAATAATCTAAAATCAGTTATCTGAAAATATTTGATCACAAGCTAGCATTATAAAAACACTTCTTGTAAAATGGAAGATATTAATCTTCTGAAGTTATATACTGTTTACTCTTTCCAAATTATCTTATAACTCTTCCGAAATTCGACATGAAATTCTTACTTATGTTACGATGGAATATATAATGTTCTATTTAAGAGCAGGGAACTAATGGTAAAATCTGTCACATAAGTGATATATTTTCAAGGCGGTACTTTCAAATATTTCACTTCCTTGAAAGTAACTAGTTAAATGAGTGAGTTGTTGAAACGCGTAAAAACCAAATTTATAATTTATACAGATACATATTCTAAATTACCGTTTATTGAATCGCCGAAGCTTAGTTATTTTACCAAAAAGACGATGAATTTCAAGTTTACATTGACGCAGTATATTAATCAAATACTTGTGCTGTAATATCAACTTTTGTCATAGGTTTTATCTTTTAGCAAAGGCAAGATAGGGTTACAAATAATGATATCTTGATTTTCATTGCAAATGCTATTAGTGCATCTTGATTTGAAAAATCAACGAAACATAAATTTAACATTATATGAAAGTACTTTTTTCCAATCAATAATTTTCTTTTATCTTAAAATATGTAACTGTACAATAATAAGAAATATTCGAATTATCGTATTAACTAGGAGTTCCAGAAACAGTGCAATTTAAGCCAAGCTAAATTAAATGAGCATAAATGAACATATTGTATTTGGAATTCTTAATAAACAGGGAATGAAGTACAAAAGAATCATTAGTTCATACAAATAACTGAAACATCAAATTTCAATGGAAGGACAGTGGTTTTTTTACAGTTGTTCTAAATTCATTAATTTCTTAATAGAAAGTAAAAGTATATCTCATATTTTCGCCACCAAATCCTCTTTGAAATTCAGGAAACAAGAATAATCATGGTTGATCTTTGTTTAGTAACCTAGCTGCTTATGTTCTCAACTTAAAGCCATATTTTAGAGGAAATCCAGTGATAATACCAGGTTTCTCTAACCAAAATATATGAATAGGGATTCAAAAACAGTGACTTATTTCTGAAGAACTGTGATTATTATAGTACCTCATCTAATCTTTAGTTTTACTTGAGAAGTCAGATAGAAGGTGAGAGAATATTAAACAGAGTAAACTTTAAAACTAAAACACGAAGTTCAGTGAAGGGATCTCTTTTCACCTGCTTTTGTGGAGCAAGGTACATTGGCCGTAGCCAGCGCTTGCTTTCAACTCGAATACGGGAACATATTCCAGCTTGGTTCTATAAGGGTGAAAGGAAAGCAGCTAGGAGTTTTATACTTGAACACCTAATCGACTGTAACCATTCTACAGATCCACAAATTGATTTTAAGTTTGTTTATATGATTCATTCAAATCTACCCAGATTTCTTCGTATCCCACTCTTAAAAATAGCCGAAGCTCTTGCCATTCAGGAGCTTAAACCAGAACTATGCGTACAAAAGAAGTACGTCTTATCGTTATCGTTACCTTGGCCTTAATTATTTTGATTATCCTATTATTATTATTATTACTGCATTCCCCCTTTACTTATGTCTTATATTCTCATTGTTTTCATTCGTAAATACTCATCATATTACCTTATTTATTTTTACACTTCTATGACATTTAATTATTATAACAAAAACATTTTAATCATATTATATTCACCAAATCTATTGTTATTATTCGCATTACGTAATCTAACATTATAACCTTTTTTATTACGTCATGGTTAACCGTGTTCACATTTCCTCACGAATTAGTACTTTTACAAAAACAAAATTTTCATATATATATACGATTGTACAGCTTGATAATAAATTCGTTGAAAAGAGATCCCTTCGCTGAACTTCATGTTTTAATTTTAATGTTTAAATGGGAATTATCTGTCAATTGAAGAGTAAACTTTTTTTATATTGGAAAAATCGGCGAGACTATAATTTATGGACAAACCAATCAGGAATAAAATGACAGGTCTTGGATTTTGGCGCGAAACTCACTCATCGATACTGTTTTGGCATTATAGGTGATGTCAGTCAGTGATGAAAACATTAAATCTAATTCTTAACCTTAACGTTTAACTGTAAATAATTCCTCGCACTGCTTTGTAACCTTCATTTGGTCGTAGTTGTTAGGCGGATACTCTAAAGATCACTCTAGCGTTGCTAAAAGATTGTCAATAAATTATAGTCTCACCGCCCCCAAATGCCCTGGTACGGCCGAGAGTGGGGAGAGTCCGCTCTCCCTCTAGAAATGCTCTCACGTGGCCATGCGTATATAGCCTCTGCCAGGGAAGTCCTACTCACTGCCTTCTCGTGGCGGGGGTGTTGTTTACAAAAATGAGAGGACGAAAAGCGAATGTCTGGCGCTTTAACCGGACCCCAAACCAATGGTGCATATGGGCTCCAGTATCCTGAGGGAACAAATGGCGTATGAACCAATCGTTGGTCACCGGCTACCATGGGACTGCATCTCCTTACGATGCTCCACTGCCTTGTGGGTCAGACGTTCAGGTCAAAGGCTCGGGGTGTGGCCCCCTAAGAAAACCACCTGCTTCGGTTTGGACACCCGAGCAGTATCACAGCCCTCACACAAATCAATTGAGATTTGTGTGGCGCATATGTATTTGGTGCCTTCCTGTACCTATACTTATGTGTTAAAATAAATAAAATAGTCTCACCGCGAAATCACTTCTTTTTATCGTAAATTAGAAGCTTTATCGATAAATGTTATGGTTCTATTAAATTGAGTTCTAATTACATGACTAGTAAATAATGTGTTTACCATAAAATCTGAACTTCTTGTATTCCATACTAAAATGGTTTAGAAATCTAAAATATTCATGAATCACTTCTCGAATATACCTGTAATCATCAGTGTCTCTTTTTATGATATAATTCGAGAAACGTTTTATTTTCGAAATATATCATTTGAATGGAACATAACTCACAGTTTTCATTAAAGCAATGATCTTCTTTCTTACTGCATGCTGAATTCTCATTTTTTAAACCTTATTCGTTGTAATAAGAAAAAACACAAAACAGAAAAAATACCTTAAAATTCAATAATTCCACTCAATATTATAGATAAACTGATAAAATGTAAAATAGCACTATATTAAGGCGTGACGACTGAGTACGTTTTCTATTTACTAGTAAATAAGCTATCTAGAAGCTATTTCGTCATAATACCACATAATTAAGATCTAAATGAATTTGCCTTCTGGGAAATTATAACTTCTCTAGCTCATATATGATAGCAAACTCACAAACCACGTTTACATCAAAAAGGTTATATTGCTCAAGGCTACGCTGATCAAATCCCTGGCCTAGAGCAATCTTGACTTTGGTGATTAGCGAAAAAGGATAGTTGATAAGAGCGTAAATTTAATCAGTAACTGGAGGTGAATTATAGTGAGTATATACCTAATACATTAATTCAGTATAAAACCTAGTGATATGCACCACTATCCATAAATCCATTTTAGAAAGCATGAATTATTTGATAATCGTGTGTGTATATGTGTATAATGACATGTGAACACAGACTCAACCTGAATAATTATAAAGTCGGCACATTCAAAATGCCGAGACGCTTATATACATAAATTAAGGAAGTCTAAACTACAAAAACACATCAAATTAAACATAACATAGTGAAATCTTGATAAATGAAAATAAAATGAAATATTTACGGTTGTTATATATACAAAGACTATTTAATCTGATGCGTGAAGAACAATCCCTTAAGGGTTAATTATAATAAACTTTGTTAAAATTTAACATGTTAAATTTTCGATTATTTCTGCACACGGATTTTTAAAGATCTGTATGGTTTAAATGATTTAGGAAGCAGTCTGATCGCGCTTTAACAATGGCAGTGGTTAGAAATACGTAATACATGATCAAATCAACTCAATTAACGGACATTCACAATCTCATCAATCGATTTGCTACCTTTGTCTAATACCCTGTGTTTAACCACACTATCTCCCAAACAGTTGTCTCACAATATATCCGTAACAAAGCACCCGCACCTTACACATATATTCTACTTCCATAGTACATGTTTCACAGGCACAATAATGTGATGCAAATCGATGCACAGAATATTCACCTTTTCTTTGGTTGAATAACATCTCGTCTGTATCACAAGTGGTGTGAACTGACAAGAACCAATAGAATTCTCTACATCCTGGCTGAGATTTTTTCAGGAACCAACCAGTCGACATTAGTGAGGTTCACAAGATAAGTGTAGTGGTCGACACACTCAACCACTTCACTCTCTATGACCAATCTATGTTATAGTTCGGGCCATCCATGGAGCAATATTTCGCACTTTGAGGGAGAGAAACCCACCTCAGAAAAGGCTAGAATAATGATAGTCATTTCCTTAACCACTTAAGATTATCATTTGTCTATTAGAATTCAACATATGGAACTCCTCTAGTAGTCAGTAACAGTCCCACATGTTAAATCGTGAACTTTGAAAGTCATGAACTTTTATAGAAACTCCGTAAATCTACCCGAAATTCTGTCTATATTTAGTTAGAACTAGTTGGTTGCTTCATTAAAACTAAAATTTTGATCAACAAACATTATAAAATAAATCTTGGTAGCTTAAATACTGAAAATATATTAGTTGATAATCGTTAACATTTATCTGTCATCTAATTGGTATGCACTTGCTGGTATTATGTCAAGCCCATATAAGTTGTTCTAGCTTTCATACAGATCGATTTATTCATTCTTCTTCAGTTACATTTTGACCTTGTCACTTATTCGCTTATTAATCCTGACTGTGTTAATTGCTCACCCATATCTATTCATTATGTAACTGCAACTTATTTTTGGTTTGACTATAAATATTTAGTTACGTCTCATTGAGTCGAGTTGGCTTACTTGCCTTCTCCGCTGTTCGTCACTTCGTTTCGTTTTACTTCTCTTTCTTCACTTCATTTCTCTGATCGTATATACGAATCAACGAGTGTACGAAATATACATATTCAAAATTCATTCTCGTATTTGGCATATTCTATTCTATTGTTTTCTAACGTGAATTAGGTCGATAATTATCTACGAGGGTAGCCATGATGTATATTTCGATAACATCATACGATCAAATCGAAGAGAGATCATGGCGCCACAAAAGTGGTGAGCCCATCGTTAACCTCATCTATAATATCATCACACTACAACAAAAAGCACTCCTTCAACTATGTGAATTAATATTTGACAATAGTGAACCAAAAACCTGTGCAGCAACCAATTCATAACTTATCTTAACTGTTAATCTCTTAACTTAGTTACTGTTTGTTACTTTTTCTAAATTAACTATATCATTTAGTTAGAATTAATGATTAGGGTATGAAATTAAGTCACTGCTTACTGGCGTTCCGTAATTAGTATGATCATAAGTTGTTGAACAAAACCAACTTTAAAATGAATGAAAGCTACATACTTTCAACTTGAAAAACTTCCAATAGATTGAATAGGACTTAGTTGTTTTAGCGAACTAATTTACTGGTTTTCTATCTATTCATCTTGTTTCTTCAACTTGAAATTCATATAATTGAATTGTTCAAATCGCTATTTGAATATAAATTGTGTTTGATTGAAAAAAAGTGTTAAAAAAACTTCGAGTACAATTAAAAGTTGATGTGATCAATCAAGCAATTCACTATAAATTAAATGATATAACCATTAATGAAGTTAAGTTGTATTCACAATTGATTGATCACTGGGTGGTGATCAATATCATATGTGTCAGGTCCTTCTTAGTGCAGATCAAATGCTATCGAACTGATTACAGTGTGGCAACTAGTTTAGGTGACTCGACATTACCTTCACTACGTTGAGATAAGATGGTGGTTAGAGGTAATCAACAAGCAACTCTGGACCCGGGTTTCATGCTATCTGGTGTTCATCAGCAAGGTGTACCTTTAATCTTGAGGGAACTGGTGCTCACTGACGGATTCGATCCTGTGTCACACAGCTTCACAGTTAAATCCATCAAATAACTTTATAAGTTATTGAATTTTCTGTAGTAAAATGTTGGTACATGATTTATTTATTGAAATCTTCCAAAAACTTATTTGTAACTCTTATAGAAGAATAATGTTATTTTTATCATGAATGTTTTTTCTCCGATGGAATAAATGTGATATTCACAATTTTGAACCTTCATTCTCCAACTAGATCTTTGAACTTTTATTCTTACTCCAGAGAATATTCTAATGTAAATAGTCAGTCAATTAAATATCATAAATAAAGGATCAGTTTATAAATATCAGCTGATAAGTCATCTTCAATTATAAAGTTTATCAACGAATTATCAAAAACCTGAATATACATGTTTCAATATTATTCTATTCAAACTTCCTTCATCTTTATTCTTATAATAAATTAATAGACACTGGTAACTAATTTTCTCTTTTTAAAAAATGAATTATTTAAAATGTGATAAATGAATCAATTAATTGAAAACATAAAAATCATACTGCAATAAACGAGAACACAAGTGCGAACAATCAAATGTATTTGAACACAAAATTACAGAACGTATTAGTAAAATCTGAGAATCATACAGTAAATACTTCATTTGCAAAATATTAATCAATCGTCTTTCGCTTTCACATCAATCATTCTTTGTTCTTATTCTCTTTTCTTTGATCTTCTTAACCTTCTACCTCCAGGCATTTCACTTTCAATTGGACGATACATACTACTTATATCTGTCGACATCAGTAACACACACTACAATACTAGGACATTCGAAAAAGTCTAAATGACTATAAAGATTTCTTAATAGTTCATACATTGTTGTCAGTTATTGTGTTTAAACAGACCACGGATCACTGTATTTTATAAATTGTATAAAAATATTCCATTAGTTACTAAACTAAGTGAAGATATTACTTTTTGTAAAATTTACAATGGCTAATCATTATTTATTAAGTTTGCATTGAACAGACATTCCTGTTGATGATACGATAAACAGTTTATTTCATTACGGATTGTTTATTTTGAAAAGTGATTTTCAAATTCATTTTGATAACTAAAATGGTATGTTTGGTTCATGACAATTAGAAATTTTGGGTATAATCACAATCAGAGTTGATGTTTGGGAAATAGGAGAACGAAGTAATAGGATCGTTACAGTATACTCCTAAATTCTGTTTTATGCACAAAAGGAGATGAGTCATCAAAGTTTGATGCAATTTTAGTAGTATTTCTGTGCCATACTTTAATTAACATTGCATTTCATTTGTCACTTTTTGTTAGATTCTTTCATGTTTATAGCTTTACAAGTAATATATGTAGAAACAGGATCTGATCCGCTGGTATGCTGGCATATATATAATAGTATTTTGGACAAATTCGAAGATATAATACTTAACAGTTATTTTCCTATTGAGTTTTTTCAAAGCTTTCACTCATAATCAGAGTTCAGGAAAGAGATTACCATTCAAAGTACATATTATCTCTATGTATTTGTACAATGTTATCCAACGTTTTGATTTTCCTTAGTAAGTCTGCTAAATCTTACCATATACACACACACTGAATACCATATAGATAATTTGTTATTACTTGTTACTAAACAGTGTTGAAATTCTTTTCTCACCTTGTTTGATTGAATAGTAGCGTCCTAAATAAGTTTCATGATAATATAAGGTTGGTTTATCGTATAAATGTGATTAACTGAAGCTTGTTGACTGCTTGTTGTTCACATTGAAAGAAAATACAACAGTGTGATAAAAGTAAAAATTAAAATCCGATACCATTTTGGTTTCACCTCCGAGTTGGTAAGGCGTTTAACGAATTACCCGTGAATTCTCGATTTCAATCTCACTGTTATTTATTTTAAATATCATTGTTACGAACACACACTCAATATTGCTTTTTCGACTGGTTTCTAAACATGTATTTAATGTATAAATAATGATCAAAGTCTTTATCTCAATCAACAGGACTATTTGAATGTACCTGTCATGTATGAAATTAGTCACAAACACAGTAAAATCTCACACCTAGATTGAAGTTCAAAAATTTGATTTGAATACAAGTTATATGATTTCATACATTTGTAAATTCCTTTGAGTGACGAGCTATAAAGAACTAAAGATTTTCGCGATTATTTAAAGTTTTATGATGGTAATGTTTTTTTTAAATGACTCAGGTACCCAAACTCAATTTTAGGCAAAATGTTCAACGGCACAATACCAATTGTATTAGATACAATGAAACAACATTATTTTATAGATCGTGATGGGGTATTATTTAGACATGTGCTCAATTTTCTACGTACTAATAAAGTTAACTTAGATCCTAATTTTGCAGAATTTGATCAGTTAGTTGAAGAAGCAACTTTTTACGGGTTAGATGAAATGGTTAATCAACTCAAACAAATCAAAAAGAAACTGAAGAGGAAAGAAACAAATAATAGGAAGTGTGTTCATGAAGAAGAGACAAACGAGACAGATATGCCATTTCCTCGCAAAAAACAGTTGAAAATTGATACTGCACAAAAATCGGAGATTAGTGATATATGTTCTAATTCAGTCGTAAACACTACAATAGAAATCTCCACTCTTCCAGAATGTATAACTAACAGTTCACCTTCACACCAAAAAGACCAATTTGGAAACACTTTGCCTACGAATAACGTAGCACAAAGTAAATGTTTCTTTATATTAATAGAGATTGACAAAATGTCACCACATCAAGGAAGAATGATCATTTCAAAATGCAACAATCTAAGATTATTAGAATGTTTTAATGATTTAAATAATTATTTCGCTAATTACTTACCTAATTCTTATCAAATAACAGAATATGACAATCATTCTGAAATAACATGGTTTGTGATGTCAACATACAATCAACTTAAACTATGGGAATTATTATTAAATCATAACTGTGAACCGACTATTCAGTATCAAATAAAAAAAGCCGATAGAAATTGTAATATATGTTTATTTAGATCAAAATCGTGAATTGTGAAGAGGTTCTTTTTTACTTTACCATTACATGTTTATTTACTTCGTTAATTTATTTACTTAGTTCGTCCCCTCTCAAAATATCATTAATCTGTTTTTGCAAAAACTAAAAGGTAAATATTTTATTTATTAAAATATAATATCTATTTAGACGAATAAGATTTGCTTTTAAATTTTCTCTATATTTTCATTAGTTCCCTGTTTGTTGATCGGTAATTAGTTGCACAATTTCCACACTTCTTACATAATCATTGTGAAACAGTTTAATTGTGAACTTCCAAAGTAAATCTGAGTTTTCTATTGTTTATGCTTAAACAGAATATTGTTCCTTGTTTGATAGGAACACTTTTTCTTTTTGATAAGTGACCAGTTCATATTCCTAACGATTTAGTCGCTTAACGTTCCATAATTTGATTATTTTGTTAATGGTGACTGCACCTATCGGTAAAAATATTGTTCAGGTATATTTTGTTTACTCTGCACTCCTATTAACTTTGACAGTGATGCTCCTGAATCATTCTGTAAGCTTTTCTACGTTACTATACAAAATATACTGCTAGTTAGAGACTTTCGAAGTATTGGAATTAAAAAGCAACTCACTGAATAATACAAAGACATAGAACTATTGTAACGCCGAGAATTCTGGGACTTACAGATAGTTGCTTCACTTTTATCAGTTACTACATAACAACGTGAGTTTTAACGGATAATGGCTTATGAATCATTGTGACAACTAAACTTCCAGGATCTGGGCTGAACTCAAAAGATCAGAGAAGCACATTTTACTCGATTAAAGCAAACTGTCCATTGAGTTGAGTCTTGATAGTCAATATACTTCACAGTCCACTTGCAGGCAATAATCAACAACTACCAAATGCTGGATGTGAAGCGAATACGCATTATTCGTCACCGTTTCAGTGTAAATACCTTTTAAACAATGATCCCAAACTCAATTAAATAAGTAGGTGATCACCTTATTTTTAAGAGACCAAATATCTTACAATTGTTTGATCAAAGGGTGGTGGTCAGTGTTATACGTGTCAGATCCTCCTTAGCGCTGATCGAATCCTATCGGAAGCATTGCAACTTGATTAATAGTACACGATCTGCACTAAGAAGGGCCTGACATACATAACAGTGATCACCACTCAGTGATAAACCGCTTGTGAGTACATCTCAGTCCTATAGGAAGTCAGTCACTGCCCGGATAGTTCAGTGGTAACGTCTCCAACTGTGAAGCTGGGTTAAAAGTGTTCGAATCCATCGGATAGCATTAGTTCCCTCAAGATGACAGATACACCTTACTAACAACGAATGCCAAATTGCACGAAACCCAGGTCCAGGGTTTCCTGTTGACCACCTCCCACGGCCGTCTTATGCAAAATCCCTGAAACACTAATCGTGTGCCTGGGATAGATAAGATACTTGGTGTCAATTTGACGTTTCTAAATGTTTGAACTAATGCCTCATTGTTGGAGTCGTTGGAAAATAAGGCTTAAGTGAGAGACGTGAGATTATCTGTCTAAAATCTTGATAGGACATTAATCGACGTTAAGGCTCTTGAATGTTTCATCGATGTGTTGTTGATAAGTTTGGAAAATGTCTCTTAGTCCCTTGGGCATAAAAGGAGTTTCTTAAAATCCAGAGTGTATTATAATGGTTAATTTGGTAGTTTCATCATTAGTTATAGGAATTCCGTTATAAACTCTAACCAAACTGGTTTAAGAAAAGACGGTCATGCTTTCTGAAATAGCCGTTAAATCCCATCGGTTCGTAAATGACCATATGTATTTGTTTTTGCATACATGTTTCGATTATCACAGGTTAAATGCCAATCAGGACTTTTTATGAGAATCTACGCAACGAAGAATAAGAGTACGAAAATCTGGAACTCACTTACAACTGGATGTTCAGTATATTTATATTTTCTAGCCTTTTCTTCTTACTCTAGTGGGTGAATGCCGCTTATACGTTCATACGTTTCACTGAGAATTTCATTTCGACCTCTAACTTCAAATTTCTTTATCCTGAAAGTTGAGAAGTGCCTCAAAAGCGCGTTCATAGGTAACCTTCACAGATGGCCTTAGATCATAAACATGAAGTCCCTATTGAAAATTTCACTCTAATATTCGGTATTGACACATTGAATAAACGACGAAACGAAAGATCTAAAAAATTTATTGAGCGGTGAAAAGGAGATGATGGCCTTCACATAAGAGGGATGCTCACAGACCGCTTGATGACCCCATTCCTTCCAAATGAACCACATTATTGTATGTAGTGGTATTAGTCCTAACCATAAAATCCTAATAAATGCACATGTCAACCTAGCTTCTATATGCATTTTATGATATTATATCTATGCCATTTGAAATCCCCTTTTATCCGGGCTCTAGGTGGAGTGTCTAACACTTTCAACTAAACCCATCGTACGTGTTATTTCTATGTGTATTAGAGTTAACGAATTGGGCTACCATATTAGTTGCCTGGAAGACATTTAACATAGTTACTATAAAAACGTCACACGATTAAGATACTATATTATTGCACAGGTATAATTAAATTATCACGTAGTTGTTAGTCAAACAAGCATTTTAAATAAATACTCTGGAGTCTACTACTAAAATTAACACCAAGTGAACAGATATTTCTGTGTCGCAGTTTGTAATATGATCAGGCAGCTACGATCCGTTGGTACTACAAACATCCGACATTTCTGAATCACCTAAAACAATAATGCCCATTTGCCACTAGCCAATCCATAATCAACACTATAACCAGTTATTCATAATGGTTTTTGGGTATCGTCATGATTGATTCAATTGACAGTATAGATGAGAAAACGTTATGGAAAACTCTTCGACACTACGGAGTTCCTGAGAAGATAGTCAATATTATCCAGAACTCATACGACGGACTACAGTGCGAAGTAGTGCATGGAGGACAGCTGACAGACGCATCCCAAGTAAGGACCGGAGTAAGACAAGGCTGTCTACTCTCTCCTTTTCTGTTTCTTCTGGTGGTCGACTGGATTATGAAGACTTCGACATCTGAGGGAAAACACGGCATGCAATGGACAGCTCAGAACTAATTAGACGATTTAGACTTTGCAGATGACCTAACTCTCCTATCCAATACACACGAACAAATGCAGACAAAGACAGCCAGCATAGCAGCAGTCTCTACACAGAGGGAAAACCAAGGTCTTCAAATACAACACGGAGAACAGCAGTCCAATCACTCTTGATGGCGAAACTCTGGAAGATGTGCAATCCTTCACATACCTGGAAGCAACGTCGATGAACAAGGACGTTCAGATGCAGACGTCAAGGCGAGGATTGGGAAAGCAAGGACAGCATTAATGAACTTATGGAACTCAAAACAACTTTCAACCAATATCAAAGTCAGAATCTTCATTACGAACGTCAAGACAGTTCTATTGTACGGAGCTGAAACTTGGAGAACTACCACAACCACCACCAAGTAGGTACAAGTATTTATAAATAGCTGTCTAGCAAGATACTCAACATCCGTTGGCAGGATACTATCAGCAACAGCTTTTGTGGGAGAGAACAAACCAACTTCCAGTTGAAGAGGAAATCAAGAAAAAACGATGGAAATGGATAGGACATACATTACGCAAGTCATCAAACTGAATAACGAGGCAAGCTCTAATTTGAAATCCTCAAGGGAAACGTGGAAGGCCAAAAAACACATTACGTCAGATATGAAAAGGATAAGTAACAACTGAAAAGAGCTGCAAAGGATTGCCCAGGACAGGGTTGGATGGAAAATTCTGGTGAGCGGCCTATGCTCCTTCACGAGGAGTAGCAGATGTAAGTAAGCAAATAATTAATTAGGAAGCTCGGTCGATAAACTGACCCATAATCATTATCAAATAGTGTTGTTTTCTCGTGATTATCTTTAACTGTTGTAAATGACTTCAGCATGTTTCTCTATTAGTTTCTCGTTTAGTTGACATATTAAAACCTCGTCAGTATGAGTAGAAGTTTCGCGGTATGATCGTTCGTGACAATCATAAGTATAAGCAGTCGCTCAAATCCCCTGAAAACTGGAAGCGTTACTGCCGAATTTACTCCACCACTGATAGAGGTTCATTTCGTTATCGTAGACTCAAGTTGAGAGCTATACTTCCCTTGATTGCAACTTGTGTTGTTCCTCATAATCATACAGGCATCGTCTTGTAAAGATTCATTCAGAAGAAAGCATCGTACTACACTTATGTTTGTGGAACATAAGCGTAGTTGATTTCAACATCTTATGATCATTCTATTTTAAATAAGTCGATTTCTCTCAAACATGATACTTACAACTAACTTGTCTGCACCAAAAACTGGTAAATATGAATATAAATAATCAGTTTACTGAACATCAAAATATTGAGTCCAGAGCATGTCTCTCTTGGACACACATTCAAGTTTGATGAATTACTGTTATATGTCTGCCCGAAATTGACATGATTACCAATATTTTGATGCATTAAATGAGTGTTCGATAATGATTCATACTTGTCAGTAATTTAAGTCGTGGCCAAGCAATAATGAGATCTAAAAATCTCATCGGCAACTAAATAAACCGCATCAAACTTAACAGACTAACTGCGACACCAGCTGAAATTTGTCCTCACTGTGGTTGTACTTTCGCTCCTTCAGTTAGCTCACCAATGCGAACGAAACTGGAAATCAACTCATACGGAGAGCGTACCGTATAAGCGTTAACTGACTTTCTAATTTACACCAAAGACCGTACCAATAAAAACTATGATACAACATTGATCGTTTTTCTATATTTAAGTACAAAACACTTATGCTACCCACACATTAACCTATTAACCAGCGGTTATTACAATGCATCTTAATGTGACTTTTTAAAATATCTCTATAACCTCGCTTTGCTTAACGCTCAAATATTAATATTCATGTATATTTTCACTTTGTGTGAGTTGAGAATTAAAAAAGGCATTTCGGAGTTGTTACACATATTTCCCGATCACTTGCGACCGCGTTTTTTTCATTTAGCTTTTTTTATTGGAACCCAGGTTTTTATTATTCTTTGGATAAGCTCCGGTATGCTAAATTCTCATCTCATTTGGTGTCGAACCAACGTCATGTTGATTCTGGTGAGGGAGTAGTGCAGCGATATTCAATCCAACCGCACCATCCTCGAATCAGAACATGAGAAATTCAAGAAGCTTCGTAGTCAATGTTTAACACGTAGAGAAAGTCATTGATCGCGAACTCATTAACAATTAATCAAAATGGAATGGCTTGGTCATGAAAGTATGATCACCTCAAGCAACCCCATGTTCTTGCGTCAAATATATTACTCTCTTCCTAGATCAAATGTGTTTTTCAGAAACGATAGACATCATATTGCTGATGGTCACGATCGGACGAATCAGTGTAGACAATGATGAGAGTTCCACGTAAGATTTTATAGATTATATAGTCACATAATGACAGATCTACAGTTTCAAAATTTGGTCTATTATTATAGTAGAACCAACTTCAAATTAGACCATAATTCTACATGTCTTCTTTATTAT